GAAAAAGCGAGGAATAACAGTTTTTGTGATTTACTTTAAAGCATCTAACAGTAAGGTAGAAGGGGATAATGAGGAAAAATGTAGGTGATAGGGATTTACGGATTTCGTACATCAGTCCCGGGTGCCGGACCCAAGACAAATAAATTAAAAGTTAAAAATGGCGTTGATGACCAATGCAATTTTACGCCATCAAACAAAAAAACAAACAATTTCGTACTTTTTATTTTTGAGTTGGGTTGTTTGCAGATACACACGCTATTTTGCGATTATATAAATTTATTATTGGTTATTTGGACTTTGGAGACTTTATAATGTATTATTTTATAAAATAGAGATTTGAAGTTTTTCGCTATCGCAATAAGTTCCTTTTCTACATACTTCATAAATAAGTAATGAAAATATTTTAAGTTATTATTAATATTTTTGTGAATTATAATACATGATCGGACTAACTCTCAGTCGTTGCAATTTTCCAATAATTTACATGTGTGAGTAAATGTATGTACTTTAACAACTTGAACTTATTTCGGCCACGGACTAAATTTATAGAGAGAGAGAGAGAGAAATAGTTTATTTAAAGCAGTACTGCCCTTCTACATAGGGTTGCTCGACACACAACATCCTTCCTCATCAATCCAAACTCATCAATCCTTTTTTTTCGACATACAAATTATATACAAATTCCTTTTCATATACAAACAATATAAATACTACAATATAATAATACATACAACTACAATCATACAATATATTATATATACATATTTCGGTGAAACCGATACAAGATAATTTCTAAAATTCACAGTGCTAAAAAAAAAAAAAAAAAGATATATATACATAGTATTCGAATGCCAAAGTTTTAACACCAGAAAATTAGAACGCACACACAACACAGACAAAAAGATATGATCACTTAAACAATATTAAAATTCATAAATAAATAAATAATGATAATCAACCCCTAATTACCATATATGTGATGATGAATGATCCCAAGGGAGTCCAGAATAATACCCTCGGCCAAGACTGCAAGCTCCCCGACATCAAGTTCCTCGAAAAAGCTCCCTGTTCTTTTCCGCGAGACCCAAACCAGAGGCCTCTCACTGAACTCTCTCTCTCCGAAGGTCTCGCGGAATTTCTTTTTTAGGAAAGTGATGCATTTCTCGTAGATTTCCTTCTTTTCTCTTTCTACTTCATTGGCTTGATCGAGGTCGTTGCTCTCATAGCGAACAGTTGGATCCAAGACCAGTGCCGCCTTTCCGGTCCTGGAGAATGCAACTATGTCCGCGTATCTTGTTGAGCCATCGCTATCAATGCAGTAGACCTCGTCGAAGCATACGAATTCCCTTTCCCTAAGAAGCCTCATCAATTCGAATTTTACTCTATTATGGTACCGGCGTGTTATAAGGAGTGAGTTGTTGGGGCATAATAAATTGTAAACACAAAAGATTGATGGATTGAAATTAATTTATCTTTACCTGTCCCCTTTTGCCAATAAGTCAATAGTTTTATTACAATATTTTAGTCGAAATATTTTGAAATAAATAACTTCATCTAATGACATTAAGTAATTTATTGAATGAATTAATATCAAAACAGAGAAACGAGTTTTACTGAATCTGGAAATAAAATTTGACTCTTAATTGCCCTATAAATTATGTCGAGCGGGAGAAGTGCAAATTAATTAAGTTGTAAGCGCAAAATTCTATTCAAATTTGCGTCTAATTCAAATTCAAACTTATTTTGTTCAATGAAAAATTTAAAATATTTTTGTTTATATATACAAATAGAGTGAACCGTATATGGACAGATTGGACTTTATAAATATAAATAATAAGCATCCTTGTTGTTGTTTTTTTTTAAGTTTCCAGTTTTTTCTAGATTGAAGAGCAATGCCGTCTATTGACAACTGCATGAACCAAGTTCCCAAAAGAAAATCTTAAAGTTCCGATCATTATTTTTTCTATAATGCTCTTGAGATAAGTTTGTTTCATACCTTCCTACTAACTGTTTTGGTAAGAGTAAGTTGAACATTTATCTTATCTTATCTTTATAGTTAAATAAAGATCTTAGAATTTTTCTGAGGTGTGTCCATTACTGGTACCGCCCCCTGTCCATTACTAGAACAACTGAATTTCGTGGTATCCATCACTAGTGCAAAAAGGTTTTTTTTTTTTAATGGAGGTTATATCTGCATAACTGTATACTTTTTTTCAATTTTAAAGTGTTGAATAGGAAAAGGAGATTCTAAACATCAAAGGAAGAAGTTTATAACTATAATAATTACGGCGGCATAAGCGGAAAATACAAAAATTTCCTCAGCTATGTTCATCACTGGTGCGCATGCCCTAATGAATAGTGTCTTGTTTGAATAACTTAGTTAGCGAGAGCTTGGACGTCTCATCCATTGAACTTAACCTTGGGATTCGCTCACCTTGCACTAGTCTGGAGATTGTTCAGACAGGTCTGCCATCCATTCTTTGTGTCTTAGCACAATTAGCGTTTCATCGTCTTCACAATACAATGCATAGATGATGTCTACTCTTATTGAATAGAGCAGTATAACTATGTAAAAAAAACTACCGTAAATGGCTAAACTTCCTTTGACATGATGCTGTTTCAGTAGTAGTTCGATTGTTTTCAAGATTGTTAGAGAAAAATATAATCTTAAACATTCCAAGCTGTTCGTTTTTTTCAAAGGGATTGGAACATCGCTTAAAATATTAACCTTGAATCATAAACTTAAGCACACATTCTACATCTCTCCACTTCTTGTTCGATAAGAATCAGCTATTAGTACTGGGAAATTTTAAATTACATGGGGGATACTAACTTCCAGTGTAAGTACCTACTACAAATCTAAAATATCAGTATCATCAAACTGCCCAGGAAGTGGTCTAATTAGGTCCTAAACACATCATCATTGTCTGCACCCTCAATGAGACACTAACGTTTATGTTTTAACGGAGAATGAAATATTCCAGCCCATAACTAGGGAAAATTACCAATCCTTCCTGGATTTTATAAATTTTCGGAAGAACCAGACCATATACTTTAAACAACTGAAGGAAGTGTACTGGAGAGGCTGCCGGACAGAAGGCAGTGTCCAACAGAGGAATGTGATGTGTTCACTGCTTAAGATAAAATTATAAATGGTTTACTTGCAGCAGTGGATTTTACGCAGACATGAGTAACATCCAATTGTTATAAACATCCGTATTTTCTAATATGCAGGGGATAGGTTGGGGAAAAAATCAGTATTTAGTTAATATTCGTCAAATTTGTATTAAAACATCAGAATCAATAAACAGTGGAAATGAATATACATTTATAATTATATTATACCAGAATATAATTACACTAATAGGCCCGTGCGAAAAATTCGCACAGCATATTATTATCAAATGCCAAATTAATAAGAAAATAAAATAATGCAACGTATAAAAAGATGAAGGAATCAATTGTTACTTTATCAATAAATATAATCGACAAAGGAAACAAAATTAATTTAAATCTTCATTTTTGTTTGGAACCAACATATTTACAAAATTCAATAAGCTGTATCTTTGCGAAAAATTGTCCGATTTCAATGATTTTTTTTCCTTTTGTAGACAATTTAGTGATGTTTTATAAAATCTTTGGAATAAACAAGGGAAAAGTGTGTATTTTTTTTTAGTTATTCGCAAATAAAGTTTCTTTTCTTTTATAACTTGTTTGCCTGAATTTTCGGAGTGATTGAACTATTTTGCTCCCCTGAAGGAGAAGGAAGCCTTCGAAACTGGTGGCTCAATCTTGAGATTTGGTGAATAATTAACGATGATATGGCTTGCAGATCAAAAACACCATCGATAAATAATATAAACTCCTCCTGTCTCGATCATAGAGACCTCAAGTCTACGAAATGAGACATGTATCCAATGACAGTACTACAATTAACGACAGGTTGTGTGGATGCGAACCCCATGTATTGCGTTATCTCGAAAATAGTACGTTTTTGGGCTTAAAAACGCAGGATCCGATAGTTCTGAAGGATCTACTTCGAAATCTTCAAGGACCAATTTGTCCCGCATCGATCTACAGACCTACCACCGCTCCAGTATTAAAGCCTAGCAAAATGTTTGTATCGACTTTATTTATTTTAGAAAGAAAAACAAAAGTGGAGAATACGATTCGCTAACCCCCCGTGAAATTCTGAATCCAACGATACCCCATTCATGGTATTTGAGCATGACAGGAGCTTATATTTGGTACAAAACCGATTTCGAGCCTTACTGTAATAATATATGTGGGGATTTTAAAATTAAATATCGTATGAGTTTTAGTAAACGTTTAATCATTGTCGAAGTATGCAGATGTCTTAACTTGTAGGGTGGACTGAAGTATTTTGTTAGAAGTGTAAAATCCACGTGTTATTAATCGATTGTGAGTTCTAAATAGTGGATGTATTTTTTTTCTGCAGTAAATAAGTGGAGAGTATAAAATCCTGAGAGTGAAGGTAATGTTATGTGATATTCTTGATTTAATTTTTTTTTTTTAATGTTCATGTATATTTTAGTAGTTTTGAAAAACCATTGAATATTGTGTAAATTCTTTGAGTCTAGTAATTATCGAAGTTCCGGATAACTTAATATTCAGTTTGTGAGCATTGCTTAATGTTAAGCGTATAATTATGTTTAAGTACCAGGAGGATTGTCCTTAGTGGCATTTCTGATTTTCTTTAGGTTTAAAGAAGAGTATCTATAATCTACATGAACGGGAACAAATATTAATATATTTTATATAAATATAAATATAATGTACAGAAAAAATTAATGACGATGTCTGATCTTCATCCAAAAACATATTTAAAATTAATAATATTCTTCATATAACATGTTCTTGAAAATGTACTTTGTGGATATTCTTACTAACAAAAGATGTAAAAAAAATATACAGTATTTTTAGACGCTTCGAGTACACACTTTCGAGTTTTCATTAAAATTCCTCTAGAGACATTTTTTTCAAATGATGTCAACAATAGTAACGGTTTTCAGGTTGACTGGAGTACTCCTAGATAAGGTGGACGAAATATAATCTAAACGATATGACGAGAGGTCACTGTGGTGTTGACTGTCTACGTGCCGGGATGCATGCAGCTTCGATGGGCGGGTCCTCCACAGCTGGCGAAAGTTCGGGTAGGTAGGGCAGATATAGGATACTTCCTAGAACGTTAAAAAAATAAAATAAAGAAACACCCAGTAATGAATTATTAAAAAAATCACAAAGTCATTTATGATTCCCTTTTATATTCTTAGTGAATTTAAATACTTTATATTGTGATAGTATATTCCAAAGTAAAATAATACAAGTATTATTAATTGTACAACAGTAAAATATTTTATACTCAATATTAAAAACGAGTAGGTATATTAATACTATATTTTTTTTCTACACTACTTCTCTGCCTATGCTTTGCAGTTAGTTGCGTCGAGCTCTACAGTATCTTTGTTGGCCTATCAAACCATCTTATTTTTGGGCTCTTACGAGGTTTTTGCTGATTTTTATTTCAATTCAAAGTATTTCGTAAAGTTTCATTAATACGAAATATTCATATTTTCGTACGGAATTCGTAAAATTATTTTTATATATAGTTACAGGTAGGGCGATAGTCGATAGTTTTCCTCTATCGATAGTAACTTACAGACACAGACTTAAAGAGGACATATTTTCATTGTATTCTCTAGTTATTTACTTTAAAATACAGCATTAACTTTATAATAATTAACATTTATATCTGATACATCCTTAGAGATTTATATTAAGGCACTAATAAACATTATTAAATAAATAATTAAAAAAATTATTGACAGAAAAATACATTTATATAAAAAAATAAATTTAATTTATTTCCCTGTTTGTAGAATTCAAACAAGAAACACCGACGACATATAGGTAGTATTTTTGAAACCATTTAGTAAAAAAAGGAGACGAGAAACGCTTAGGTCTTTTAATTTCAAGGTTCTAGTTTTCTAAATTTATTTTGATTACAGCACCTAGTTTAAAATATGATAAATCTGTAATGGCATCCTTGTAGATTTTATAAATATATATTTTTATGAAAAATAAAAAAGGTGAGGTAAATGTAACATTTTTTTTTCCATCCGCACAACTGGAGGTGTAAAAATCTTTCTAAGAAAGTAATTTGAGATTAAATTATTTTTTTACCGTGAAGGCTTCTTGTTCATTTTTGTTTCAGTTTTATATATTGGTAAGAATAGCTTTAAATAAACCTTCACCCTTCCATCCATTTATTTTCTTAATGTGGCGTTTTGTATAAGACAATAACAGTTTTCCATTATAAAACATTGAACTTTTACATTATTATATTTTCACTATACATCGTAAATCAATGAATGGGCATAAGTATGAAGGCGTGTTATTAAAATTGTTCCTTTAAGTGTATAAAAATTTTAAAACAATTTTTGTCAAAGGGGTACGAATTATCGATAGGGATATCGATTATCGACTATCGCCCATCCCTAGTTACAGGCATCTGCGCTCAATAGTTCCGGATGCATCATAGACCATGATCACATCTGAAGTTCTTTGAAATCTGCCCTGACTGCAATTCCAGTCTAATCTAAACTGATGATAATACTGATATTAATACTAGACGTCTGCCGCATATAGACAGTATTAATGTCAATAACCCCTATATTTCTTGGATTGAAGTTGAGAAATCAAAATAGTGATTTCGTCAATACATGACCTGAAGACTTCGATATTAGCCTCAAATATTCAATAATACTGCCAACATATGCAGGACTTGTTATTGTTCAGGGACCAAATGTTATAGGAGATGTATTGATGACTAAAAATATCTTTTCATATACTATGAATGAAATGCTTTTAATATGTATATATATCTATTTTACTAATATTAACTAATACTTCTGTATATTTATATATAAGTTCATATATTGTCCTAAGGATAGAAGAGTATGCTGTGTATATAGCAACCCAATATAATTGGGCAGCAATCATTTATATTTTATATTCTATGAAAATAAAGTGTCTCTCTCTCTTTATAGCTTGGACAAACTTTATAATTTATTAATTATTGAAATCTCTATTGGCATTGAATCTATTCAGAAATGCTCATCAGATAGATATATAGTTTGTTTTCAAATAAATATTTTATTTAATATCATTTCAGTGTCTTAGACATTTTGGAGAGGCACCCGCTAACAAATATTTTCAGGCTAAAAAATTGTCAGGATGTGCCATCAAAAATTTCTTTATCGACGTTTTTACCAAAAAATGAAGGTCGAAAAGTCGGAAAACTCAATAAAGAAATTTTTGCACATTCTGACAATCTTTCATGTTTATAATTTCAACAGTCAACTATATAGCCATCTTTAAAATAAATATCTTCCTTATTTTGTTGAGGTTTTACAGCTAGAACTTTAAAGTAATGTCTAAGAAAATTATATAATAACAATTTGTTTTTAGTTTGCCTTTTTTTTTTTTTAAAGTTATCCTGTTACCTGTTAAGTAAAAAAAAATACATAATTTACAATTATTAAATTTATTTGAGAAACAACAAAACAGTTAAAGCCCAATAAATATAAGTGTTTTGTTTTGTGATTTAAAAAAAAAAAACATAATTAACCAATAAAATGGACCGAAACAAATGGAACTTGGAGATTGAGCAGAGCAAAGATTACTTAAAGTATCTGTCACACCAATGAAACAAGATAAAATAAAAAAATAGTAACAAACAATATTATTATGCACAGTTTAATAATTATACTCTTAAAGAAATTGAAAAAGAATTATTCACATAATTTTCTAGTTATGGTATTAATTTAAAAATTAAAAACCATCAATAAATTATATTGCAGTTTATTAACAGAAAAATTTAAAATTAAACAAACCTACTTATGAATTACATTTATTCTCCACAACTAGTGTATTTTTCATTAAAAATTGAAAATAATGTTGCTTAAAAAAATTATTGGTTTTTGTTGAATAATTACTTTGAAATAAAAAATATTGAATATTATTTATTTTTATCCATTTTTTGTATTTGAAATATAATGATTAATAATATCTATGAATGGAAATAATTTATTTTTACTTCAGTTATGGTAACTGCATGGCTTTTGGGCTAACTTCCCCACAAAATGGATCTTTTTTTTCATTGGTCCATGTTTGTTATTGTGAGTGATTTAAGCTAAATATTTAAACAACCACAATATGTTCATTTTTAGAAAAAAATTTTAATGCATATACAGTTACTAAATATAATTATGTCTTATGAAAAAAATTATCTCTAAAAGTATTATTATAAAATATTAAAGTATTGTTATACAAAGTTCATGTAATTATTACATTTTTAATACAAATTGAAGAATCATTTAAACATCACTTCACATAAGTAGTTAGTTTCTTTCTTTTTCTACCTAAATAATTATAGTTATATAAATATATATATATATATATATATATATATATATATATATATATATATATATATATATATATATACAACTTTTTCTTAATCGACCTTTGAGTATTAAATTTAAACTTCACTATTTAATTGGGAATAAGGTCACTCAATTAAGTGACCTTATTCCCAATTAAATAGTGAAGTTTAAATATATATATATATATATATATATATATATATATATATATATATATATATATATATATATATATAAACTTTGAGGCTGAAGCACCCCAAAACTGCTACTGGTAATGGTTGATTTAATTTGATGATATTTTTCTTTAATGTGATTTAAAAATAAATGTATTTGCAGTTCACAAAAATAATGCTAAATCTATTTTTTTAAAAAGGTTAAACTACACAATTTTTGTTTTATTTTAATTTTTTTTAACATTGTAGAAAACAAATATGAAATGCAACTAGTTCATGCATATTAGTATGTTTTACCAAAAATGGCAAACTACAATCATACTTTGTAGAACAATTTGTTTGTAAATGGTAGAAGAGTACAAGGTTTAACAAGAAGAAATATAAATAAAATATATTTCTTATTTCATTTTAATCAAAATTTATGTTTCCTCTTTTAGTTCTAATATTAAACCTATTTAAAAAAATGATAAAATATTATTTACTTTTAATAATATAACAGAGGGATATATATTTAATGCAATGAGTCAATACAGTTTAATATGGTTTGTTATTTCAAAATGATGCACTAATTGGTTGATTGACCAATTTTCTTTGAAAGTAGTAAATAAAAACAAGAGGAAAACAAACATAAACAAATTTGAACTTAGTCTTCAAGTATCTTGACTAATCAGAGCTAGAACAAGGATTTTTTCAAGGAGGGACAAGCTTAGTTGTACTGCCTTTTAACACTAAAAACTCAAAAGTTTTATAACAGTATTTAAGAGAATAAGTTTGCAAATAAATATCACCATTTCTTTACATTAACTCATTACATTAAATATTTGAATTAAGAACAATAAAAGAGCAGAAACAAGTATTTTTTACTTGACCTATTCAAAATTTTCCACCCCTGAATCCTGCCACCTTGGGGGAAGTGCCCCTTCATGGTTTCAGTTCTGTTGCTAATTATAAGAGGTCCTAAGATTGTGCTAACATCTTGTTCTTTTTCAAGCTAAAATACTGTTATAGAACTATTATGTATACTTTTACATTTTTTAATAAATGTAAAAGTATATGTAATAGTTTACAACATAATAAAATCGCTTTTTTTTTTTTAAGAGTATAATCATTTATAATATATATATATATATATGTATATATATATATATATATATATATATATATATATATATATATATATATATATATATATATATATATACTCATTATGTAAATTCTAATATGAATAGTCTAAGGAAAATAGTTATCATAATATTCTATAGAAGATGCTGCAAAAGATCTGAGCAACAGTAATTAATTTTTAAACTTTTTTTCAAAGTAAAACTCATTTTCTATTATAGTGATTATATATATTATATTATATAGTGATTTTCTATTATATTAAACTGATTTATTTTGAAATATTGGCCAACTGTGGTCACTAAGTATTTATGTACTCTTCATTGATACCATAAATATGACATACATAAAATAAATAATATGCATAAATAAAATAAATGTCAGGAAGAAAAACAAATATTTTAAATTTAAACATATGAACTGTTGTACTCATAAGAGGTGTAATTTTAATAAATAATTAATTTACTATTAAGTGTTTTAAATATGTGCTTCTAAATAATGGTATAAAGCTTAAGACTATTATTAACACAGAAAATAAGCTGTTAATCCTTACCAATAAATTCCTATTATTATTTCATACCTATTTTTGTACCTACTTTTTTTTGTGTAACATTTATGTATACATTTTTTTGTTTTCGACAAAATGAGTTAAAAGCAAATTTGATGCAACTAATATTACAACCTTTAGTTATTTGTAATGAAATTCTGTTAAAGTATATTGTAATTATTTTTTTAAATAATAATGTTGACAATATATTTAAATTGATCATTTGACAGTTATTTTCATTTTCATTTTCTTAATGTATGCATTTGAATCTAATTTCTATGGTGTGAGTGCAGTGTTTTTCTTTTATATGAAATAAAAGGATTATTGTATTTTATGTACAACAAAAAAGCAATTATATATCGGTTGTTTTTATATAATGTACAAATACTAATCCATTTTGTTAAACAATTAGCAATGGAGATGGTTGATTTCAACTATGATAATAATCATAAAACATTACCAATAAAATCTTAAACTAACAATTTTTTTTTGTTACATTTCAGCACATATGTATACTTTTTTGTTTTCTACAAAATGATTTAAAGTATTTTATCAATGTTATCAATTATTTTGATCTATTGATTATTTATTCAACTTGTAGGATTAACTAGTTAAGATTAAATAAATTTCTTAATTGATTTCCATGGAATCTAATAGCCTAAAGTAATAAGAATATGGTTTAATAAACAGGATAGGTTTCATTTAAGTTCTTGCAATTATATATCTCTTTTCAATTTAACATGTGTGACAAAAGAAACATGAAAATTATAAGTACACATATAGATTTTATTTATTTGTTTGAAGATCTTTATTCATTTATTTTATTTTTTCAATTTGATATCTAAAAAGGATACAGACAGACCCACCATATGCCTAATATAAATCTTTCTAAGATAGTAGAAGATGTATCAGCCCTCCCAGCTGATTGTCAATTCTGTGCTTGACAGTGATCGAATTATTAAACTTAAAAACATTTTTAAAGGAGTCATAATCACAAACACTAATAAATAGTTTTGTATAAATAATGAGAGCAATACTTAGAATAATTTTATTTGATTAATAGAATATAATTTTGGATGCCCTAATCAATATATTAGATTTAAATGGAAAAATTGGTGCTACTCAGAAACTGAAAATATGATATATTCAACTGTTAAGGTGAAGTTGTATAAAAATAGATATGAAATAATAATAGGAATTTATCAGTTAGGATTAACAGCTTTCTTTCTGTGTTAAAAATAGTCTCAAGCTTATACCACTATTTAAAAGCATATATTTAAAACACTTAATCGTAAATTAATTATTTATTAAAATTACACCACTTATGAATACAACAGTGCATATGTTTAAATTTAAAATATTTATTTTTTTTCTGACATTTAGTTTATTTATGCATATTATTAATTTTTTGCAGCTCATATTTATGGTATCAATGAAGAATGCAACTATTCTTATTGGCCACAGTTGGCTTATTACAATATTTCAAAATAAATCAGTTTAATACAGCAGAAAATTACTCATTAATTACATGATTGACTGGTTATTAATTTAACTTTGATTTTTATTTTGAAAAAACTTTAAAATTAATTATTATTGCTCAGATCTTTTGCAGTAACTTCTATGATAACTATTTTCATCAGACTATGCATACTAGAATTCACATTGTGCGTATATAATAATAAAGTGACATAATAAATATAGGAATATATTTTTATAGTTATTTCCTGCTTACAGAAGTCCTGCATGAAAGAATTATATTTTATAATGTATGGATGTTTTTAAATAAAATAGCACATAAACTACTTAAATTGTTACATACCAATATAAAATACTGACTATTTTTTTAAAGTAGTAACTCAGTGACAACAAAAATAAAAAGTGAAAGATATAAAGTTTTCAAAGCATGTACTGTCTTTTACTTTCTCCATCAATTTGTTAAATATATATTCTTTAATTTTGTTTTATTAAAAATCTATTTTCAAATAAAAACTTACATAAAAATATTAAATAATAATAAATTTATTATTTAATGACAAAAAAAATTGTGTGTAAAATTTTGGAAAGAAACTCTTATTAAGAAAAAAATACATTGTAATTTTAATAATTAAAAAGTAATTACAAATAAATTTATTATTAGTATTTCCAAAATGATGAATAGATTTAATTTATTTGTAATTCAATATGATTTTTGTCCAAATATGGCTACAGGTAATTTTATTAAAATTATTAATTGGTGTCATAATAATTGGTTTTAAAATTTTGTTTAATGATATGAAAAAGGAATTGGGGAACAAATTTCAATTTTTTTTTTGAGAATGGAAAGATTTAAATTTTTTTAAAGTTTATGAAAATTCCACTTTTTCCTTTATGGGTGATTTTTGGGGAGGATGGAGGAG